GACTATTCTGTTGGATAGTATCAAGGAGCGACATCAGTTCACCAACGTTTCTATCAGCAAGGACCATCCTGCTCTTACTGCGTTGCGAGCACTCTTCACAGAGCGCAAGAAGACACATGGATAACCAGGCTTCCCCGCATGGGAGAAGCCGGTGGCGACACCTGCCGCGCCTGACCAGGGCGACCCAGGCGCCAACCGGGACATTGCCCAGGACCCAGGTAGCGTCGCTTCAGCAGCCCCAGATCAAGAGACCATGGTGCAGGTCCTGGCTGAGAAGCACAACATCGACCGCGAGGTGGGCGACAACGAAACCACCCTGCAGGCAGAGGCCACTTGCATTCGTGCGGACATTGCTGGATCTTACGATCAGACGGACTCCGTGGATATCGACACTACCGAGTACGCAGGACTGCCGGGAGAAAGGCTATCGCTGACCGAGATCGAGGGGATCGGACGATCGATCGCTTCTCGTGCCACCGCTGAGCTCAATCGTGACGTGAGGCTATAAACCAGCTAGGTCATTCCCTTGCGTCAGCAGCTGGTGGCAACACTCGCTGGGGATCTCTCAGGGACCTCGCCACGTCTGGGGCCCCCGAAGAACTCCAGCAATATATCCCGCGATGTCGGAATTGCGATCGCCTCCTATCTTTGGGGGTCGTCACTAATGATGGGACACTTTGCGACATCTGCTGGCAGTACAGTGTCTCTGTAGGCGCCACCGGTAAAGGTGGAGCCGAGGCCAGCGACCTGGCGTACTTGCAGACCCTCAGCCAATGGATCAGGACCCACCTCTCCCAAAGTGACGTCGGCCGCGTCACGGCCGACAGAGCGAACGTCTACACGACGAGCAAGCGGTCCAAGATCGGGGACGAGACATATAGGTTGAGGAAGTTGGCGAAAAAGGCGGAAGAGAGGTACAAGAGATGGTGCGACGCGGGCTTCCCCCTGCGAGCGCTTGCAGGTTGTTGGGGGGACCTGATGACGACCGTACACTGTACCACCCTTACTGCAACGTCGTTCAACGTTTCCTCAATGACTCCCGATTCCATCACCAGATGACTGGGGCCCGTGAGGCCACTGGTCATAAACCTTGGACTATCGAGGACATGCGTGACGCTTGCGGCATCTATGATCGCAGCGTTCGGCTTGGCCTCGCTGGTCGCAAGAACTGGTGGTTGAACGAAGGTAGGATGGACAGAGGTACCAGGCAAGAACGTGGTCTTGTCACAATCGCCTCACCCCGCGGGGATGGCACTTGTGAGAAGATTTCGCAGCGCAAGCTTGCCAGACTGACCTCTGTCGGACCTGCCGTGGGATCTAACGAGACAGGGGCGACGGGGTCAGGGGTTCGAACCGATCCTAATGAACCCCCCACACACTCCTCCCATGCACATGGCGCCATGGCGCCGCAGCAGCCGCGGCGCCCGCCGCCGCCTCGCGCTGCCCATGGCGACGCTGCTGGAAGCCGCGCCTCTGGCGCGCTGGCAGGGGTGCCCGCTGGGCCGAGCGGCGCGGCCGCTGCGCCACAGCAGAGTGGCGGGCGATCGGCCCGCGCCAGCGACATCAGTCGCAGGCCGACGACGCCCCCGCGTGCCAAGCGGGCGCGTGCGACAAAGGACCGCAACCTTGAGGACAGCCGACGGGGCCCAAGGTGCTGGAGCTACTACACCAAGCGCTGGCTTTACATCGCGGAGAACAACGGCGAGTTCATGTACATCCGCGACTTGCAGTACAATGGTCGGTTCCACAACTGGACCCCAAGGACGCCTTGGGAGACGTACACGACAAGCTACGTCGGGACCGACGGCTACAGAGCGTGGGACCACAGGTTCTACCTGAGGGGCAATTCCTAGGTGAGTTGGCCGCCAGGCCCACTGCTCGGTTTGGCTTGAACTTCATTTTTACAAAGTTCGCCTCGAGCAATATATATACGTTTACATTATTTGGCCACTTCACTATAAAGGGAAGTGGCCACGCACATATACCTTGTGAAACCCGAGGCAAACTCCTAAGGAGTTCCGCCGAGGGGAGTAACAGATTGCAGAATTTATGTATGCAGTTTTCGTGTTCATCAACACGAGTTCACGTCGGGCCCGACATTTGATTTGATGATTAGACGTGTTTCTTAACACGATCGTGTTTCTCAACACGACTTTGTATCGCATTTGTTGCATCACATTGTTTGCTTTTCTATGCAGTCTATTTTGATGATAATTTTGTGTTGAGAATGATCTGAAGCCCAGCTTTAGTTTGAAAGCTGGTGGCAACACCTGCCGCGTCTATGACGACGCAGCTTCTGATGTTGCTCTCTAGTGCTCAGATCCTCTTGCTCCGCCCACCCGTGCCTCTTTCTTCTCCGCCCTCGAGTGCCGAGGCGTTGTTAGGGGGGCGCACCGAGGGGGCACCAAAGTGTGCTTGGCGAAGAAACAGGGGCCCTTGGTGTTCTATCTGTCCCTTACTTGCCTGATCACGTGCTGTGCTACGCATCTCTTTTGCACGCTGCTGTCGTGGTCGGGGCGCAGCTGAAGAGATGCAGATTTTACGCTCAGCTGCCTATCAATGCTAAGGATTTAAGGAGTAAAACGGGTGACAGGTTCTTTTCTCCTTTTTCCCGAGTCCTGCCCTCGCGGGCGGGATTCGGGGCGGGGGGCGTGAATAGAACCCGTATATTGCCCTCATACCCACTCCTTATCCTCGCTCTCCTGCCCCTGGCCGTTTGGGCTCAGGTATTGGATTGGCATCGATCAGACCTTCTGATCGTGCAGGAGGAAAAGATATCCATCTTTCCCTCCTGTCCTCCACCAACGGATCAGGGGTTCTGTGCCTTTGCGCTCCAACCCCATACACAAGTTTCGCATTGGGGTCGGCAAGCTCCGGTTCGCGTCGGCGGAGAGGTGCGACCTGCAGGTCGCGGCGGAGGAGATCGGCCGCGGCATGAGTCAGCCGACGGCCGGAGATGGTCCGTGCAGAGATGGAGGCGTGGAGTTCAAGTGGCATGTGGATGTGTTTTCCTCTCCCTCCCCCGACCCCCCGCCGGGGCCATGTTTTTATCCACGGTTAATGCCGTAGGCATGTTGTCCGCGAGTTGTCCAGGAGCGCCTGGGGCCTCGTCATGGTTTCCGACCAGGGCCGTTTGCTCGGTGAAATCTCAGGACCTCTGCGGGCGCCGTGCCCCCAAGCGCCTTGAAGGGCTGAGTATGGAGTTTTTGCTTGGAGTGCTTGCTTCGCCTCGGCCCCGATTGACCTGTGTATCGATCGCAAGAATGTGGTCGATCACGGTTCGCTGCCGTCGTGTGAGGCTCTCCCGGGACAAAAAGCAGCATGCCGGTAACATCCCCCAGGCTCATCACCTTTTCGGCCCTAACCTTCGGTCCTGCAAGATGGTCAAGGCCCACTTATACCCTGGTGAAGAGGGCATCACAGCAGAAGATCATTTCGTGAAATTCGGGAAGTTTTATGCTGCTGTGGCCGCCAAGAGCGCCCTTGCGAGACACCCCGCGGCGGATCCTGTCCTGCTTGATCAGTTGAGTCGCTCGTTCAAGATTGCCCTGCGCGTCATGAAGCTGGGCGCTGCGGTCTTGCCAGAGTGGCCCAAGCTCGAATTCAGAGGCACTTCTCGCGCCCCTCCGCCGCCCCCTAAGCCCATTCTGGTGCTCGCCCACACGTGGAAGAGGACGAGTGGGCATTGGCGGTGCGAGGTTTGTTGGAAGGGCTCGGTCGCGGGAGAGAAAGAGACCCCTCCCGACGCGGCCTGTCCTGGACGCTCGAAGCTGGACCAAGGAGTCCTGGAGCGCCTGGCACCGTGCTGTGGCGTTTCCGTGCTCCGACGCGTCGTATCTCTGGCTCTGTCCCAGGTGCAAGTTCTAGTCGAGCGGTGCCCAGGTGGTGGGCCTCAGAAAAGTCCGCAAGCCCCCCGCGGAGACTGGCAGGAGGAAATTCAGGAAACTCAAGAAGGGGTTTCACCCAGACAAAGCTGGCGTCTCAGTCGATCTGGGCGATTCTGTTCCTCTGATGTGATCAATTGAGCCTTTTTCGCTGGTGTCTCGCAGTGGCGATCTGAGGCGACGGGGTTGACCCCCAAAACAGCGGGCCGCGAAGTACTTCAGCGACACGAAGGAAATGGCAAGACCAGTCTTATTTCGCCCGAGCCTTCGGATAACATCTAGCTGAAGGTGAAGGTGGGCAGCGGCTGGGCAGGTGAAAAGATCGGAATGAAGAGCACTTCGAGCGGACACGTCCGCATGAATGAGGCGGCGGTGGCAGCCTTCAGCCACGCGCAGGCCAGTCCAGCTACATCCTCAGCAGATGCTGAGATTTACGCCATGGGCCCGGGGGCTTGCGAGGGTCGGTTCGTGACAACCTTTCTGAACGAGACGACCCCAGGCCTGCAGGTGAGCCTGCAGTTGAAGTCGGACAGTTCTGCAGGTATTTCATCGCAGAGCAGGCTCGGGCTTGGGGAGCTCAAGCATATGCATTTTACGCCACATGTTAGTTCGAGGGTTGATTCGAGAAGGGCGCTTGGTGATTCATACGATCCCGACCGCGGACAATAGCTGCGATTTGGGCACCAAGAGCCTTGAGAAGGTGGATTTCGAGAAGCAGCGACGAGTTGTTGGACTACGCGATCCGAGTAGCGGACACATATTGGAATTGGAGGTTGTTGGCGATGGCGAGCACCGCATCAAGGATACTTCGTTTCGTGGGCAAGGCGAAATACACTCCTAATCTCTAGTTTATATATATATATATACATACATACGTATCCATCGCGGATTTCCTCCCAAGCCCAGGTGGAAAAGGTGTCCCTGTCTCTCTCTCTCTCTCTCTCGCTCCCTTGTTGTTTTGGTTTTCTGTCTCTCTCTCTTTCTCTCTCTCTCTCTCTCTCTCTCCCCCTGTTGTTATAATATGTGTTCTGTTTGTTCTCTCTCTCTCTCTGTATGCCCCTCTGTTTCTGCATCGTCTGCCCTCCCTCCGCCCCCCTCGTCGCGCCCTTGCTGCAGGCACATCGCGGGCCCGGAGCTCGTGCCCCATGCGGAGCTGTGGGGCGCCCCGGTGCCCGACGGTCCCGGCAGTGCCAACCTCGACTGGAGCGGGGGGTCGGGCGCCAATTCGGGGGGGTCGAGTTTGCGCGGGGAGTTTCGGATGGAAGTGATGGGGTGGGGGGTCGAGGAGGAGGAGGAGGAGGAAAAGGAGGAGGAAGAGGAGGAGGAGGAGGGGGAGGAGGAGGTGGAGGAGGAAGAGGAGGAGGAGGAGGTCGACGACGAAGAGGAGGAGGAGAACGAGGACGAGGAAGAAAAGGAGGAGGAGGAGGAGGAGGAGGGAGTGGATGAGGAGGAGGAGGAGGACGAGGAGGAGGAAAAGGGAAATGGGGGATGGGGGTTTGGGAATGGGAGGGAGATGGCAGAGGAGTAAGAAAAGACAGGAGGAGAAGTGTAAGGGGGAGCAGAGGGAAGAGGCAAAAGGGGAAATGGAGGATAGTGGATAGTGCTGAAGGACGCAGTGTCCGAATTCCGTGCGCTAGGGCCTACAAACCTTGCCAGTCCATGGGGCAAACATCCGTGGCCAAGACGTAGTTCGAGCCAGCAACCCAGCAAAGTCGTTGGGTGTGGAACGTGGGTCTGAGGGGAAGTAGCGGCAGGCACGTGACGAAGCACCAGCCCTGCGAAGTTTTGCATTCTCCAGACCTCGACAGAAACAGCGCAGCATAAGCCTGACCACGTACTCCCGCCCGTGAGCTTAGGCCCTCGGGTGTCGACGCGGTTCGACCACCGTGCGGGGCACACAGTGCGACTACACACGGGGCCCAGAAGCAACCCTATAGGCTTGAAGGCCAGGTGGCACGCATCCATGAGCCTCCCCCGCACAGTCTGTGGATCGGGAGGACACGGCTGCTAAACCTTGGAGGAGAGCGGACAGGTCATTTTTGGGCTACCCGATGACTTTCCCCCATACAGGGTAGTTGTGAAGCATATTCACTTTCCCCCAGCTGGGACGCGCACGTGTGCTGCTCCAGCCCGCCACTCAGGCGGAGGAGGAGGAGGAGGAGGAGGAGGAGGAGGAGGAGGAGGAGGAGTATAATGGCTTCAGGATAACACCTAATCAGCCGATAGCAGCAGCAGCAGCAGGAGGAGGAGGAGGGAGAGGAGGAGGAGGAGGAGGAGGAGGAGGAGGAGGAGAAGGAGGAGGAGGAGGAGGAGGAAGAGTGGGAGGAGGAGGAGGAGGAGGAGGAGGATTACAAGGAGGAGGAGGAAGAGGAGGGGGGAGGAACAGAGGAGGGAGGGGGAGGAGGAGGATGACGAGGAAGATCGGGAGAAAGAAAAGGAGGTGGAAGAGGACAAGGATGATGACGGCGAGGTAGAAACTGACAAGGAAGGTATCGATGAGGGGTTGGGGGAAGGACATGAGAATGAGAGGGTATTCGTAATCATGTTGATATTGCTGGGAACGCCATGGCACGCGGTGCTACAATTCGATTCGAACCGATGTAATACTGCATTGGCATCATGCTAAATTTCGTGATATCGGTTTGTGCCATACGTTACGATTTAGTGTGATGTATGCACTCGGAGGAGATCGCGACTGGGACGCCACAGTCTCATCCGGGGGAGATTGACATCGGTATTTGCATGCTTGCTAGTAGCAGAAGAAGCATAACTAATAGCAGTATGAGTATTCGTGGTACTAGTATTATTAGCTGATTGATTGTTTGTTAGCTTTTGTGCTTGTGTTGTCCTGGCTTACTTGTTGTGGTACTTGTTAGTCACGTTGCTCCGTGTCTGATGTTTGCCGTGGTTTCTGTTGGTTTGTTGTTTTACGGTGTGCTCGTGCTCCGTTCCCTGTCCGCGCGCCCGCTCTCCTCCCGCTTCCGTTGTGCCCCCAGTAGGCCCCACAGTGTCCCTCGGTTGTTCGAACGCGGCGTGGATCCGCGCCGCTGCGACCACAAAATATGCGAACCTCCCAGGCGAGGTCGCCTCGCGGACCTCTGGGCGGCGGGTGCCCTGCTCCTCCCGCGGCCCCTGGCGGCGGGATGGGGTCCTCGCGCCGCTCGACTGGTGCCCCCGTCGTCGACCCCCTGGCGGCCATGGACTGCGCCCAGCGTGCTGTCCTTGCCCGCTCGCCGCGCGGCCTCTGAGGTGCTCGGCAGCTTGGGCGGCGGCGACCGAATCCGGGAGGTGGGGTTAACCGGGCGGCGAGGGGCCAGTTGGCGAGCAGACGCCAGCGCGGGTCGCGCGGTGCGTGCCCCGTCTTGCGGTCTGCCTCCTGTAGCTGTGCCTCGCGGCAGCGAGGGCAGCGCTTCGCAGCGTCTCCCGGGGCGCAGGGCGCGGCGCCCTGCGCCGAGTCCGCGTGTGCTGCCCAGCCGTATGCCATGATCTCGGACAGGGGACCCTCGGCGCTCAGCTCGGCGATGAGATCGGCTGCGCTGGCTGTGGCGTCCGCGAGCAGCGAGCATAATCTGCATGTGGCATCTGCGCAGCAGCGCCCACGCGTCGAGGCCGCTGGCCAGCTCGTAGCAGCGTCCCAGGACAATCCACAGGTGGGGGTTGTCCCGCGTGCCCACCCGCACGACGCGGGGCGCAGTCTGCTCGAGGTCGCGCGGGAGGAAGGCGGCAAAGTTCTTGAAGTCCATGTTGGTGTGCGCGTGGTGTGGATGAACGCGCGAAGATCACTCTCGGCGGGATTGACCAGCGAGGGCGATTCCCCCAGGAACTTGGATGCCTCCTGGGCGCCCTCCCAACTTGCCACCTGTCACTGGAGCGCCAGCTTCGTGGCGGCGCCCGTAGCCGGGTGCTTCTGGTGCGTGGCGTGCAGGTAGGCGGCGGCCACGTTCAGGTACATGCACTGCCGCTGCTCGCGATCGCCGACCCTCCGGTCGCGCATGCAGTCTGCGAGCTCCTCGTCTGTCGTCAGGTAGTCCCAGTAGTCCACCACCTCCCAGCGGCGGCGGCGGCGGGGGGGCCCCAGCGCAGCCCCGAGATCGCTGGGGCGAGGGGTGCGCCTCCCGCCTTTGGGGGGGGGGGTTCTCTTCCTCAAGGTAGGGCCTGGCCAGCTCCGCCAACTCCTCGTCTCCGTGCTCGACTGCGTCGTGGAGCGCCTCCGCGAGCCCTCCAGGTCGTTGCCAGCGGCCGCCGTCTGCGAGGCGCCCATGGCAGTGGGGGGCAGGGCGAGGGCGGGCGCCTCGGATCCGCTTCCCCTCGTCGGAGTTGGTCGCCCCCTGCATCTGGTCGAGCTGCTTTCGAGCGGCGGACTGGTCTTCGACCGCCCCTGCGGGAGGTGCGTGGTCTCTCTTCAAGCTCGCGTCGGGCCCCGCGCTCGAGGCTCGTGAAGTCGAAGTCCTGGTAGTCCTCTGGGGGCTCGGCCTCCGCGGCTGCGCGGGGTGCGAGCGCGCCACCATGCCCCCGCCCCCCCCCGCTCGGCGTCGCCCCCGACGCGGCTGCAACAGCTGCCTTCTCCTGGGCCTTGGCGACCTCCTCGGCCCGATGACTCGCCGCCTACCGGTTGGCGTTGTCCCGAACTTGTTTGATCATGCCGCCCAAGCCCGCCGGCTCGACGCGCCGGCCGCCGCGGGCGCCGCCGCGGCGGATCAGCGAGGCTTGCGCCGCCCAGTTCAGCTTCTCCCACACTATTGAAGCTGAAGCCCTCTGCGTGGATTGGCGGCGCCGCTGTGGAGGCCATTGACACGAATGGCTCGTAGCCTTGGATCGCGCGTGCTCGCGAAGGCCACCGTCGCAACGCGCAGAGTTTCGTTCCATTGGCAGGGCTCGCATGCGTCGTCAAGCTGGTTGGTGACCAGCAGATCTGTGTCCACGGGGTCTTCGTGGAGCCGCATTTGCAGGGGGGCGTTGCGTTGGCGGTCTTCGAGTCGTTCTCGAACAGCGGGCGTCGAGTCTATGGAGAAGTACTCTTTCGTGGTGTCGGCCACGCCCGACGAGATGATCTACTTGCCACCTGCCTGCCTGCACTGCGTCGCCGCGATGACTGCCAACAAGAATACCAATAACGAAAAGGAGGGCGCCCGTGTGGGTGAAAAGCTGGCACGCATTCTCGGAGAGCCTGAAGAAGGGGTTTGTCGCGCTGAACGGTTCGACGCTCCAGACAAAGAGGGGCAGGCAGATGTAGGAGGACTGCCTTTCTTGGTTCAACAAGGCCCTCCACTGTGATGCGTGGGCGGTTCCGACGACGGCCGCCGACTAACCGTCGGTCTAGCGCCGTGGGAATACATTTCCGTCCAGCAGTTTTCGCGGGAACCCGCGACGGGCAATGCTATTCGGACCGCCCGTCAGGTCGGCAGAAAAGGTGTAGCGACATGAGAAATACACACCGTCGGAAGCGTTCGAAAAGGCCATCAATCTAATTGTGGCGGGCCCAGAGGGGGGGAGGGCAGCGGGGGCGAGTGGAGAGGAGAGGGAACAGGTGGAGCAGGATGCGGGGGAAGAAGCGAACGGGTCCTTGGGAAGCCTCAGTCAACGCACGAATATTGGGCCAAGACGCGCCGAAGGTAGAGTTCAAGATGGCCTCCAAAGGTCATCCCCATGGCACAGGCCCTAGGCGGCCCGAGATTCATCGAAGAGCCCTCTGCAACGGGCTACCCGCAAATTTCAAGATACCCAAAGCGGCTCCCGTGGCGGACCCTAGATGCCCCAACATGGATTCGTGTATCATCCATTGTCTCCCTCCCTCTTCGTCTGTCTAACCCTCATGTTCAATGCCCTCATCGCCACCTCCTGGTCCCAACCCTTGCCTTATCTGTAATAGCGCATAATATGTTTTACAATCATGAGTCTCATCTGCGTCATCCGTCGCATTTGTGTGTGCATTCACATGTTTCACCAAGTTCATTATTCCGCCGTCGTTCTCCAGCTCCTCCAGTGGGCGGCGCGTGAGGCGCCACGCCCCTGCGTGGTCGGGCTGCGCGCGCCCGCCGCGTTCGACGCGGCGTGCTCGCGCCGATGGCGTGCGAGAGAGAGAGAGAGGGAGAGGGGGGGAAAGAGAGAGAGAGAGGGGGGGAGCGACTGGGGCTTGAGACAGACGGGGGAGAACACGAGGGAAAGCGAGAGCGCCCCCGCCCGCGCTGCTACCGCGGGCTGAGCAACGGCGCCAGGACGCCAGCCGCGGGGTTGGGGAGAAGGAGGAGGAGGACGACGAGAAACAATCTGATGAGGAGGAGGAAGAGCAGGAGCAGGATGAGGGAGAGGAGGAAAGGAAGGAGGAGAAGGAGGAGAAGGTGGAGGAAGGAGAGGAGGAGGAGGGGGAGGAGGAGGAGGAGGAACGATGGAGAGGGATAAGGGGGAAGAAGGAGGATAATGCGGAACATGCAAGTACTCAGACAACGAAGGCCCCAACAATTGTGAAACGTAGACCCTGCAAATTTCAAATTTGCCGAGGCGTCTTGGGCGGCCTCACTCAGCCCATCTTGCGGCGTCGGCGTCGAGAACTTGTAGTGAGCCATTGGAAATGAGCAACACTCGCAGTGACTCACTACAAGTTGAGTCGTGTGGTTGTTTGCGGAATTGCAAGCTACGTGCGGTTGCGTGTCATTTTCGAATTTCGATGTTGATTTCGAGGCTGAGGAAGTTGAGCGATTCGTCTTAGCAGCGGCTCGGGTTAGGCCCTGTGGCTCTACCCGCGGGGCGAGTCGAGCGTTTTACGTTTTGGATGTTCCAGTCTAGCCGCGGAACCCATGTCTTACCAATTCGGGCCAACCGCTTTGTACGAGGGATCTTGGTTCGGGGAGCGCGGAACCACGGTTTGGGATGAATGGGTCGTGGCCTCGGGGGTCGGGGCGATGCATACAGATGGACGCGGCCAGGAGGGGGGGGGGCGTCCATCCATAGAAGATTACAGAAACCCTACCAGGCAGCACTTCGCATTCTATCACGCTTCAACGTGCCAGGGGGCACGATGGCGGATTTCGGACCCCATTCCCACGAGCCCCATAGCGACTAGATTGCGAATTGTAGCGTGTGGTGTTTGTTCGGGTTGTCCGAAGATGTTGTTGTTTGTTGATATTCCCCATCTCCTGATGATGGGCTTCTTGTTGTCACTTGGGCGGTACCGACTTCTGGCACCTTCCTCATCCTCCATGGTTTCCCTGGACGTACTCAAACTTTCCCGTACACAGACTCGCACATATTCAGATTCACTCACGCTCAGACTAAGACTCACTCACACTCAGACCCACTCGCCCTCAGACTCAGGCGCACTCAGACTCGCTCACACTTAGACTCACTTGCATTCAGAATCAATCACATTCAGACTCACTCACACTCAGACACACTTACGCTACTCACACTCGGACTCATTTACACTATCCATACGATGTGCTCCCCGGAATCATTCTCGTAACCAGGGGCATTCATATTCACTCGCACTCAGACTCATGCGCACATCGACTCATTCGCACGTATTCCCAGCATATTGGGAGGATGTGTCGAGCGAGGCGCTGGTTTCAGCACTTCCAAGGGAGGCCGCCAGGGTGTTCGCATGGGCCCGTTCGCTGCCAGCCCTCTTCGTAACCCATCCCCTCGCCTTGCCACTGCGCACGTTCTTGCCCCGCTTCCCTCGGAATTTTCAACAGGCCATGGTGTGCTACCCACCCACACCTTCCCTTCCCGAGGACGGCCAACTTGGCCGACTGCCTACCCCGCAGCCAAACCAAGCTCCAGGGTAGACCCCCCCACCTGTCAGAGCCGGTGTCCAACCGCGGCGGAAACCAGCCAGCCGATGAGGGGAATTGCCGCGTTCCAAAACAAGCCTTCTCGAATCCAGGGCGTGAGTTTCAAGCCACCGCCGATGGCCAACTCGTTCACCTTCTGCTGAGGAGGATGATTAGCAGCAGCAGCAGCAGCAGCAGCAGCAGCAGCAGCAGCAGGAGCAAGAGCAGGAGCAGGAGGAGGAGGAGAGAGAGAGAGAGAGAGAGAGCGGGAGAGAGCGAGAGAGAGAGAGAGAGAGACGAGGAGCAGGGGGAGCTCGGAAAGGGGGTCGGGGTAGGGCAGGGCCTCTCTGGGCTTCGACTACGTGCCGACGAATGGCCACGTCCGCTACGTGTGGAAGGACGACGCGCTCGCCGAAGCAATGGGGTTTGCAGCACATTTGGGAACAGTCGAAGAGGATAATTCTAGATTCGAACGCGGCTCCTTGGACCTCAGTTTCCATTGGGACGTGTTTTTCCATGCGCCTTCTTAGCGTTGCCTTGAAATGCTGCACCACGTATGCCCGTGTCCGGGCTGGGGGGCCTTTGCAGGCCCTGGGGCCAACAGTGTTATTTTCGACAAGAAATGTGTCTTGGGGATGGTGTCGAGGACTCCAGGGCTTGCGCCGTGAGTCCGATGCACGACGTCGGACGTCTACATCGATAGTGGTCAGGCCTAGCTTGGGTTCGGGATCCGTGGATGGAGGAGGAGGAGGAGGAGGAGGAGGAGGAGGAGGTTAAGAGACGTGAAGTTGCAGGAGGAGGGAGAGGAAGAGGAAGTGGAGAAGGAGGACGTTGGAGGAGAGGAGGAAAAGACGGAGGAGGAGGAGGAGGAGGAGGTGTAGGAGGCCGCCCTGCGTGTCCAGGGCAGCCGTTCTGTCTGGCACTTCGGTAGAGACGGTCGGCGGGAGCGAGACGGAGGCAGGATGAGGACAAATTTGTGAAGTGGGTGAATTTCCGAGGTTTGTTGGGTCGGCGCTGGGCCCTCCGGGACATACCCATTCCTAGCAGGTGTGTGGAGGGGGGCTTAGCGGGCCCAAGAAATTTGCGCGGATTTCCGAAGGCTTGCTGTTATACAAGTCTCCGCTCTACTGAATGAGGAGACGGGCGGGGGAAAGGGGATCTGTGCGCTCGCATGGTTTATGTCCTGGGAGTATTACTTTTGCTCCCAGCCATCATGTGGTTTGGGGTCATCGCTATGAAGAGACAGTTCCAGCGTCCTTCCTTCCCCCCGTCCTGCCTCTTCCCTCCGCCCATACTAGCCTCTGCACTCCGCATGTCCATGTCGGAACACCTCTCACACGCTTCGTGGCCCCATGGGGAGCTCCACCGAAGGCCCCAGTGATTGCGTTCGCATACCTGCTCCACACCATTTTGGCACACATCTCACACGCTTCGTGGCCCCATGGGGATCTCCACCACAGGCCCCCGTGGCTGCGCTCGCATACCCGGTCCACACCATTTCGGCGCACCCTTCACACAATTCGTGGCCCCATCGGGAGCTCCACCAGGCCCCAGTAGTTGCGTGCGCATACCTTGTCCATTCCATTTGAGCACACATCTCACACGTTTCATGGCCCCACAGGGAGCTCCACAGAAGGCCCCAGTGCCTGCGCTCGCATACCTGATCTACACTATTCTGGCACACCTGACAGTCGCTGCGTTCGCTTATTTTCTCTACATGATTTCGGCGCACCCCTCACACGATTTGTGGCCCCATACGGAGCTCCACCGAAGGCCACAGTGGCTGCGCTCGCATGCCTGATCCACACCATTCCGACACACCCCTCACACCTTTCGTCCTTTCGTGAATCCATAGGAAGCTCCACCGAAGGCCCCAGTCGCTGCGTTCGCTTACCTTCTCTACATAATTTCGGCGCACCTTCACACGCTTCCTGGCCCCGTAGGGAGCTCCACCGAGGCCCCACTGGCTGCGTTCGCATATCTGGTCAGCTAAATTTTGGTGCGCCCCTCACACGCTACGTGGTCCCATAGGACGCTCCGCGGAAGCCCACAGTGGCTGCGTTCGCATCCCTTCACACCGTTCTGGCGCACCCCTCACACGGTTCGTGGCCTCATAGATAGAGAGCTCCGCTGCTCCACCTGAGGCCGCAGTTGCAGGAAGCACAGCGTGACCGCGCCAATTTCGGCACACCCGTCACACGTTTCACGGGGGCAGCACCTGAGGACCCCAGTTGCAGGAATCGCATGCGTGACGGCGCACAGTTCAGCGAACCCTTCCCGCGCTTCGTGGCCCCAAAGGACCTGAAGTCCCCAGTGGCAGGATTTGCATGCGTGACCGCGCCCATTTCGGCACACCTCTACATCCAGAAGTAATTTGTTACAGCTGACTTTTGCGACACTATCAGCAATGTCGCCCCGTCTTTCCCATGCACGCTTCAGTTCTTTTGCTGGCCCCCTCCCTTAATTTCCATCTGTCCTGCGGTGCTCGCAGCTGCGTCTGGTCGCCATTCGCTTCGACTGGGGCAGCCAGGCCGGCTCCAAACTTCACCTTCTCGTATCCGCCAGGACGGCCAATGGGACTCGGGCCGGTCCCTCCGCGATCCGTACATCCCCGTCCACATCCTCGGCAACGTGTTCCACTACGGCCAGGCCCTCTTTGAGGGCTTCAAGGTCTTTCACACGCGCAACGGTGTCCGTGAAAGGGGAGGAGAGGCGGACGAGGATGAGGGCGATTTGGAGCTGGCGGTGAGGATGGTGATGACGATGATGATGATGATGATGATGATGATGATGATGATGATGATGATGATGATGATGATGATCATGATGATGATGATGATGATGATGATGATGGCCATGATGATGATGATGATGATGATGCTGATGATGATGATGATGATCATCATGATGATGATGATGATGATGGTCATGATGATGATGGTCATGATGATGAGGCTGATGATCATGATCATGATGATGACGATGTTGATGATGATGATGATCATCATCATGATCACGATCATGATGTTGATGAACATGATGCTGATACTGATAAGGCTTATGATGATCATGATCACGAATATTATGATGATGAAGATGAGCATGATGCTGATACTGATAGTGCTGATGATGATGCTGATGATGATGGTGAGGATGGTGGTGATGATGAGGAGGAGGAGGACGATGATGCTGCTGTTGATATGGATGATGATGGAGCTGATGATGGTGGTGGAGTCGGTGGTGATGATGATGCTGATGCTGATGCTGATGCTGATGCTGATGCTGGTGTTGATGCTGCTGCTGATAATGATTGTGGTGATGATGGTAGTAGTGATGCTGATGGTGATGAGGAATACGATGAGGAGGAGGAGGAGGAGGAGGATGTAAAGTGATGATTATGAGAAGGAGGATGGGGAGGAGGAGGAGCAGGAGGAGGAGGAGGAGGAGGAGGTGCAGGGTAATGATGAGGAGACGGATGAGGAGGAAGAGGATGAGGATACAGGACAAGGTCAGTTGGGAACGACTCCGAGCAAGCAAAGCAAGACAACAAGGCCTGTAGAGCATCTAGCGTCCTCCGTGGTTATGTGGCCACCGGCCTCGTTATAGGACCTGCTCAGGAGGACCTGGATGGCCTAAAGAACCTAGGCGATGTAGGGCTCCACTAGCAGGGGCATCCCCTGTCTAGCACCAGGCGGTGCGGAGCCTACGGACAGACAGCGGCGTGTCCGAGGCTCGGAGGAGGACGATGACACGGACAACCTCGACGACGACGACGACGAAACAGGGGGGGCACGCCGACGTCGGGGAGCTCAGGATGTCTTCCGACAAAAATATCTTAGGGCTTCACACCGCTTCCTGAGAGGTGTGGTCGTCCTCATCCCTGTTTATAATAATTGCACCCTGGTCTTCGCAGCTGTTTCTCGCGGTTCCCCCTGCAGGCCCAGTGTTAGTCATGTCACAATAACACCATACGTATTCATACCTCCCCTCTGTACATTCCTGTTCATTGCCTTGATAAGTAGTACTGCAGTGGCTGTCGTGGTAGGTCTGTGGTTGCTGTCGTAGTGGGGGGGTCGAATATTTTCCTCCGCGCCCTGCACAAGGTCATGAGAAAAAGGGAGGCGCTCTGCAATACCTCCCGATCGGGACTTGCTAGGCCTTTTCTTGTTCACGTCGCTCCCACCATGATGCGTAGCAACTCCTCCTTCATCTCATCGTTGACTCGTCTCCTCTGCACGGCCTTCTCATTCTCTTTGGCGTAATCGATCCACTTCGACTCGCCTTTCAGCTGCCAGAAGAAAGGCGCCCACGTCTCTGGCTTGCTGTCGCCCCAGGCTTTCCAGGCCTCCAATACGTGCTCGACCACGGCCTTCTCCGCGAACTTGGTCCACGCCTCCTCCATGCAGTCGCGTACCTCCTATTCGTATGGCGCCCATGTCTTCGGATCTTGGGGATCCCACCACGAGCCTGCCACTGTGGGAGAGCTTCCCCCACATGGCGAACACCCCCTGTTCTGCTTCTTGCTCTTCTCGTCTGCGCAGTTGAGCTTGTCCTGCTGCAGCTCGTTGTAGTTGTTCTGGTACGGGAACGGCCCTATGATGAACGGCGAAGCGTGCTCTATCAGGCCCAACGCCTCTCCAAGCTTGGTGCTGACCGTCTCCAAGTGATCCAGCTGCTTGCCGACGTAAACTTTCCCATCCTCTCTGAGCACGCGCACCTCGTAGTCCTCGCCCGTCGACATGCTGTACGTCCTCGCCTTGCTAGCTGCCAACCTCTTCATGTTTGCGATCACGTACTTGTTTGCCTCCCTCATCCTGGAGTAGGCCTTCAGGATCTCCTGCTCCGTCTTAAGTTTGTTGATCGCCATCTTCTCTTGGCCGTAGCTCGTGTCTCCAATCGCGTCCTGCTGCTGGTGCTGTTGCTGCTCGTTCCGCACTATCGTGGCCATCTCGGGCTGCGGCAGCTCTGTAGTTGATGTCGGGCTCGTGCAGCTAGTGCTGTCCAGCTTGAGCCTAACTGGGTACGTGTGCCGGTTAGGTTGGTGACTTAGAGACCTTGCTGTTCGATCGTATACCGTCCTTGGGTCCCAGGGCCCCTGTCGCGCTCTCCTTCGGGTGGGTTTTCGGTATCCTGGAGTCGGTTCTGGAGTAGGGGCGATTCTGGAGTCGGTATTTCGTTGGCTCAGGAGTCGGATTTCATCTGTCGGATATGATAGCGCTGGAGTCGGTGAGACGGCGGTGCTTTCCTTATGAGGCTCGGGAGGTCCAGACAGCGGCGGTCCTTTGGGCTCTTTGGAGGCCCATCATTCCTTTTTTCTGTCCCAAGCCGAAGGTTGGCAGTAGGCAGCGCACCGTCGTTCCGCCAGTTGGTTCTCTGACTTGGCGACGTCCGCCAAGGTCCACGTGCCAGGTCATTCGATGGCATCGCTCCCCTTTTGTGCAGTTGAGCCGTAGCCTCTCTACTTCTTCTGTCCACTCGATCTGCGCCCGAATCGCCTCTATCAAGTAGATCCTGGCCTCTTGGTTGTCTCTCAGCTCGCTCGTCTGGCTTTGAATTTTTGCAAATCGCGAAGTGGTTATTCATCACGAGGAAGGCGCCCCTGAGATTCCTTCGCGGGAGCTGGAAGAATGTGTGCCAACATCCTGGTGAGGCCCGTCATCGTGCCCATGATCATGCCAGCGTTGCTGGCCTGCATCTCTGCATGCTGTGTATGTGTGTCCAGAGTGGCGGCGGTGGTGCGCTGTCCAGCATTCTGTGCTCCTTTAGCCTATCCCCGTCGATGCCGTGCTCGCTCAGCTGTCGGCGCTGTCGAGCTGCTCGTTGGGAGGCTCCTGTTTCTGCAAATCTGGGCGGCGGTGGTGCAGGCACTGCAGTGGCCGCTCTTCCTCTCCGTGGTGCCATTACCTGCGGGTCGGGTCGCACTCCTCGCGTGCCTTTCCCCGTGCCCGTGCCATCTGTAGCGCTTCTGGCCGTGCCGCTGCTGCGTGGGTCGCACGGCGTCATATCTCCTCGATGTACTTGAGCCACTAGCCTACGTACAGCACTGTGCTGGCGTCGGCAATTGCAACCCTGGGTCGACCAATGCGCCATTTATATACGCCAGAAGTCAGCACGCACAATTGCAATAGTACGCCCTGTTCTCTTGTTGGTAGGGCCCACTGGGGCCTGCGTGCACATCCCCCAAACTAGGTGAAACCTTCCCGTGCCGTAGCAGATTCATTGTGGAGGGATCCCCCCTTTTCCCGCTAGTGAGTAGCGTTGACTAGCTCTGCACCCGACGCGGCATTGGATCGCTTGTTGGTACAGTTGGTTCCCTCTGTCCTTGTGCTTCGCAAGTTCTTTGAGCCCCGCGGGCCTCTAGGGGTCCTGGTTGATTTCTCCGGCTGTTTCTTGCTATCGCGCAAGCCCGCCCAGGCGTGGCTCGAGTTCTTGGCGGGCGCTTTTTGCGCCCGAAAAAGAGGGCGCCGCCGTGCTCGCGAGGGCCCGTTGTCGGCCGTCGTGTCGTCTGGTGACGGTGTTTGCTCTTACGTCTTCTTCGTGCGCTGCAGCTGCCTCTCCACCGCGCGCTCGAGCTCCGCCTTCGAGCTGTAGCACGTTGCCCACGCTCCTCTGAGCCTGGCGAGGCAGAAGCCCGCCGCCTGCCTGAAGTGCTGCGGGTTGAACTTGCCCATATTGTCGAGCTCCGTCTCGTCGACCTGTTTGTCCTCCAGCAACAGGCGAAACTGGTGCGAGTGATTGAAGGCCAGCGTGAGATTGCCTTTCCCCTGCGCGTTGGCTGCGTCGTCCTGGACGCCCCCCCCTTCTTGCTCCTGCCGCGCGCCTCGCTGGTCTTGCAGAGGAGGGCGGTCTTCATCACTATCGCCTGCCCGTGCTGACCGTTCGCGACCTGGCTTCACTCCCCGATGATGTCCAGCGCCCACATGATGTTCTGCTTTGGCCCTTCCTGCGCCATGGTCTCCGTCAGCTCGTTGAAGGTGCTCTCGATCCATGGCGTCGCTCTGCGTGCGCGCGGGGGCCCGCGCTTGTGTCCCTTTTCTGCGCTGCGCACTTTCTGCCCGTAGCATTTGCCTGCCCCTCGTACCGCTAGGAACGCGTGCGCGATCGCTGGGGTGAGCCAGAAGCCCGCGGTGGCGTGCACGACTTCGCGCATTTCCTGGGCTGTCTTCAAGATCCGCCTCTGCAAGCTCTGGAGCGCCGTCGGGTAGTCGTCGCCTCCTCCGCCTGCCTGCTGGCGGGCGTCGTCCTCGTCCTCCTCCTGGCGGCTGGTCTCCAGATCCAGAGGCTTCTGCGCCTGCTGGGGCGGCCCCCTTCACGTGGCCCGCGCCTACCTCCTTGAATCCTGAATCGTCGCCTCCTTCGAGCCCTCGCTTGAGCCCCCGCGCTTGAGCCCCCGCGCTGGCGTTGACAACTCATGCCGTCGGTCGCGGACTTCCCTTGGGCCCTCGCAGTGGCGGCGCACGCGTTGCTGCGAGCCGCCGAGGTTGTCGAGCCTCAAGGTCGCAGGCAGGGCACGCTGTGGAATGTGCCTCTACAACAGGAATGCCCACATGCGGCGGCTGCGGTAGCAAATGCCATGACCTTCACATGCTCTAAGTAGCGAACGTGAAGAGGCACCAGGGGCGCTGATATGCCCCTACAAGACGGGCAACCAACGTTGCGCATGTTCGAGTTTCTTCCCCGCGGGCCTTGACGAGGGCCTGGGTCGTTGCAAACCTCGTCGTGCAGCGCGTGCTCGGCCCGGCCGCCTTCTGCTCCTCCCAGTCGCGCCAGTAGGGCGTGTCTACCTCCTCCTCCTCTTCCGAACCGCCGTGCGTATCCTCCTCCTCATCTTCCTCCTCATCCTCGTCCTCCTCCTCCCCCTCCCCCTCCTCCTCCTCCTCATTGCGCTCCCATCTTGCTGCTGCTATTCGCAAAATCGGCACGCTGCGACAATCCACGGGTCCCATTATCCCGCCCCTGGGCGGAAGATCGCAATGTCGGAATTCCCCCGATCAAACCACGCACAGGATTCGTCGCAAATTGGGCAGCGCGTTCGGACAGGTTCCATCATTTGGCGGGCCAGGGGTGCGTTTTCCCCCCGTGCACTTCCGTCCCAGAGTCGTTTGTCCCCCGTTGCGTTGTCCAGGTAGGGGTCTCCAAAAACAGTCGCCAGCGCGCCATTGTGCCCTTGAGGATGCAGTGCCGATTGCCGATGCAACTTCAGTCTTCGCGCTTGGGGGATCACATCACGTCGTGCTATCCCCCAGAAGGCACATGCTTGTTTCGTAGTGTAGCACCGCTTCGTTCACCGTTCAAACGCCCACATGAATTTGCCTGCAACCAGCTTGCGCGCGTGCACATCCACAATGTCAGTGAGACGCTTGGGCAACACACATACCGTCAGTCCGCTCAAGGCAGCGCCACTCGTGCACGCCACGAGCATGATATTACTGAGTTTGGGTGGTAGTCCACTCTTCCAAGCGATGCCGCACTCTCGCCCTGTGCAGCGCCGCGGGATCCTCCTGCATGCCCGTAGTCCGCAGGCATGTAGGGCCCCAGTAGTCGCATCTCCCGCAAGGCGCCCCCAGGTTGCTACGTTCGATTTGCGCAGTTGCATCGAAGACAAGGTCGATGACTGGTATTGCCTTAGTTCAGGCACCATCCTCCTGTTGCTAGTCTTGTTGCAAGTCTGCTGGTAGCCCTGTTGAGAATCGCCGCCGCTGCAGTTGCTGAGCAGTGTTGCGTGAGAGAGCGCGCGCGTGACGTCGCCCACGAACGAATACATGGCGATGTCGACTCGCTCCTCCAGGACAGGGTTCACCGTCTCGTGGATGGCTTGTTCAGGGTGGAGTGCTTTATCGCGCGCGAGCGATTGGTCAAGGTAGATGTCGTACGCGTCGCCAAACGGCCGCGGGCGAAGTGTGAATCCAATCTTCGCTTCCTCCGCGATCTCTGCGTCCAGTCTTCCGTCGGCGCATTCCATGTTATCAGCGCTGGTGCCGACGGCAATCATCGCACGTGATTGGTGGTGTTCGTCGGCGTGCGTCCATGCCGTGGTTTGGAGCATTTGTCTCTTGGTGCTTGCGAAGTCGTTGGTGCAGTCATGGCTTCTGTGGACGATGCTTACTCCCGCTTCATCTGCCCGCCACTATGCGGCTGCAATGCGGACCAGAGCGTTGTCTCGACCTCTGTGGGCCAGCCCACCCTGCGCCCAGCCAGGGCGTTGTGGTTGTGGCCCACGTAGGTGGATGCCCCTATGCCATGCCATGCCTGCAGAGCAGTACGCGTGCATGATACGCGTGGCCCTGCTCCTCCCCGCTGTGTTTTTCAGCGTCGAAGGCGCGAGATCTGTCCTAGTCTAGTGGGGCGCAGCTACTAGTTCGGTTGTGCGTGGGGATGGTTAGGAATAGCCGTTGAAACGGGCGTTCATCCATTCATCGACGTAGTTGGCCACACCCCACCCTTGCATTCTGCGCACGTTTCACCCAGTACGCCATAACGTCACGCGCGGCAAGTCCTTGGCGTCCGTCCTGCTCCTGCCTCTTGCCTAAGTTTGTTCTTGCTATCCATCTCAGCTTCAGCAGTAGTGCCCGTCCCTTCCCATACTTGGCAGTGCTCGTGTACATCGCAAGCTCCTCCTCGTCCTCTCTCTTCTCTGCCTTCCTGATGCTTTGCTCCTCTGTGTGTAGATTCAGCTCCTCAGGGTCAAGCAGATGCACAAGTGGGTCCAATGTCATCCAAGTTGGCTCCACAGGGATCCCCGACTCTTGACCTGCCCGTCTTTTCACCGCGTATACTTCAGCATGGCCTACCTGTCCCTCTCCGCGCGACCCTTCAGGCCTCAGTCCTCTGGTAAGGGTACTCAGTCCCTGGCAAATTCCTCCATGTCTGCCCGTTGTTAGCCACGTCGATCGGAGATGCGGCCAACCCTCTTTCATGCGGATGCTTACCTAGCTCCTGGGACCATTCCTCTTCGTCCCAGTTTGTCTTAGGGCACAGTAACATCTGCTCGTGGGACCTCGGCCGTTTTGCTGGTACGCGATGCGCAGTTTGTGCATTTCGTTGCGGCATTTCGTTGTGGTCGTTTTTTGCGCGAGCCTCCCAGCTGGCCTCCACGATTTGCTCCCTTCGGCTGTTTCCCCCTCCTTGCCGGAGTTTCTCCTAAACCTCAGTGGCAAGGTCGAGTTCATGTTGTCTTGTTGCCAGGGCATCATCGGAGTCTGCTTTCGCCAGGCTCCCTCGAATGTTTCGCCGTCCTGTAAGGAGTTCCATCCGCCGTTGTTTCAAGACTATCTCCTCCGGAATGGCCTCATAATTGGTTTTCTGGAGCGCGTTCGACATGCTGCCGACGACCCTCGTCTGCCATAGTCTCCACATCTGATCTGCCGTCGCTGCCGCCACTGCCTCCTCCCATTCCGCCGTCGCCTCTAGCTCATCCATACTCTGCTCCGTATCCTCAAACCACTTGCCCCCCCCCCCCCCCCTCCCCCCTCCCCCCTGCGCAGGCTGTTCATCAGCGCGTTGATGCCTAGTCGTAGTTGTCAAGGTAGCATCCGCAGGCTCGCTCGCGGAGGGAGCCTGGAAGCTGACGATGTCGCTAATATTATGCCTACTGGGAGGTGATCCCGATGGCGTTTTTATATGTATACATCAGTATATATATATATATATGTAGTGAGCTGGAGTCCTTTGCTATACCCCTGAGGGCTGCGCACTTCTGAACGAGCGGGAGCCCCCCCCCCCCCCGCGGAATAAGGATGCGGTCTACGAGTGTGATCACGTCTTTGGCCGCCGCAGTCGTTGCACGCAGCGGCTGGTCAGGCCGCAGTCGTGGCACGTAGTTGCAATGTTCATGCCCCCCCCCCCCCCCCTTACCGACTTGTCCCACTGCTGTGCCGCTTTCGTTCTCAATCTCATTGGCGCATTTCCACGCTGCTGCGATCATTGCGCGCGTTACCTTCCCCGCCCGACCCTCTGTGCATGCCAAATTGTGCATCCAGGTCTCCCCTGGTCAGTTTGTTGGTTCTTGCGCCCAGTCCACACGACCGAGCCAGTCGGTCACTTTTTCTATTGACGACTCCGTCGTGCTTACAGCACGTAGGTGATGTGTAAATTTTTAACATTGCTACGTCGTACCCTTTAGTCGCAATGCGCAAACTACTGACCCTTCCCTGGAGTTCAGATAGGGGGGGACATCGTGTGAAAGTTGTACTAGCAAGGATGCGAGTTATAGGATGATGTTTAGATATATCTATGTTATTGCTCTCGCTCGCTCATGCTTGCACTCTCTTGTTTACTATTGCCATTTGTGGCTTGGGCCCGCCCAGCTGAGGCGGGAGGGTGGGCGCACCTATCGAACGCTGAGTTTGATTCGGTATAGGATATCCCATCATCTGCCTGCCTTCTTCTTGCATCAAGAGGTTGTGGGTGGAGAGATTTGGATCATTATTTACACTGGTAGCGTGAGCTGAATCAGTCCACAGTACGAGGATTACATACAGAGCGGCCGTGCAGACATATATGTTGGCACTCACATCCTCGCGGTGCTTAACCACTGCGCTCATCACCAGATCACGGTGATCGACACAACGCTCAAACTCATCACCCACAACAGCTTGGACGAGGATCGTTGCATCAACAGCATCCCGGGCGAGCAGCATAAATACAGCAGCAACGATCTAGACAGTCACTAAATTGGAGATAATCTCAGTAGCAGCACAGTCATCAAGATGACGTCCAGGCAGCAGCAGCAGTTCAATGACGGCCCCCACTTCGTTGACAAGGAGGGCGTGGTACACTACAGCGGCGACCCATCCCACGGCGAGGAGTTCGAGGAGCGCGCAGTACTCGGCTACCACGCGAGCGAGGAGAATATCAAGACGCTCTACGCGGTCAAGCTCAAGAGTTCTCTGAATGGACGAGCGCGGGCACTCGCACGAAAGAAGGTTGAGATCAGTGCGCAAGCAGTTTTGGGCGAAGCAGGTAATGACCCACTTGCTGCAGTCAAACTAGTGGTAACTACAGTGCGACAAGCGTGCGAAATGATCGCACCACTACAGAAGCAGCAAGCGTTCGAGGGGTATTTCTTCCGAGGTTTTCGCAATCGAACGGAGTCTGTGCAGGACTACATATCGAGACGGGAGACGGAGTACGAGCGGCTTAAGTCACTTTCAACGAACACGACAGTCAGCGAGGACCTTCGGACATACTTCCTACTGAAACTAGCGAACATCAGCACGCAAGAGCACAAGGCAATCCTTGGCCAATGCAACAACGAATGCATCTGGCATGACGTGACGGCAGCCATGCTGA